CCCCTGCTCCCTGGGATGCTGCGGCGGCTGCGGTCCGTGGTCCAGCAAGCCCTGGAGCAGCAGCTCCAGTTATTCCCCTTCCCTTTCCGGGAAATGGGCCCGCCATGGCACCTTGGATCCCAGCACAGCCTGGGCAGGGAGAGCCCGGCTCCCGCTGGGTCAGGGGCAGCCCAGAGCTCGGTGCCCCAGTTTCTTCCCCAGCCAAAAAGAGCTCGAGCTCAATGCCCGCCCCTCAGATACAGCTCACATTTTCTACAAAGTTTGTTTTTACATTGAAATACTCTCCTCTAGCGTTAAACCTTTTGCATTCTGGTGGTGACTAAAACCACAGGCTGAATTCCTCACTCGCACGCACAGGCTGCAGCTATAGCTTTATTCTAAATTTTGCAAAGCAAACAATTGCCATTTAAAAATTGCATATTCTATAACATTAATCAGTGAGGCGGAGAGGAGTTTTCTGGAGTTAATGGAAGCCATCTGATGTCTGTGCTAATTCCCAGGCTTTTTATTCTAGTTTCTAATTGAGCTGGGAGGCTGAGACAAGTAGACGAGTTCCTCAGTGGGACTGACCTGCTTGGGCTGGAAAATGTTGAAAAAAAAGAATTTTTAACCGAGACCGCTCTGGCTGTTAACCTTGGGAAAGTTTTTGACTAGATCACAGTTATCTTAGGAAGACTGGAGGGCGACTTTCATCTGGCCTCTGCTTTTTTGCGGTGAGCCTGCCTCTTCCTGTGAAATCATTCATTTCTTGGTGACCACAGGGCCATCCGTTTCAGGAGTGCAAAAGTCTCAGAAAGGAAAAATCCACCCAAAAAGTGAGTGATTTTAGGGGAAGGGAGGCAATGAATGGAAGGAGAGCTGCTTTGAGTAAATCCGCCCTAAACCTCGGCCCCGACTGCTCCCCCGGGACAGAGGGACTGTGCCGGGGTGAGTGTACGAGGGGTGTCAGCACCTTCGCGCAGGGGCTGGGGAGGGAGAGCCCGCGCAGCCCGCGGTGCTCAAGCTTTGTGCCACTGCCCCGAACAGCTTGAAGGAGCCTCCGGGGTCACTCGGGCAATTAGCCACCGCGCTATTGCTAGGGAGGGACTGTCAGACCACACCCTGGGCTGGCATAAATCAGCAGAACCCCTTTGCCCCAAAGGGAGAAGCGGTGGGTTGGTTTTTTAGCCGGTGTCTGACCTGCTGCCCTCTGCTCAGCCGCAGGGTCTGTGCCGCGGTGCCGCAGAGCCGGGCGGCCGCTTACGCCGAGTCCCACGTCCAGCCCGTCTACCAGCCCTACCTCACCACCTGCCAGGACCACCGCCTCTGCAGCACCTACAGGTGAGGGCAGCTGCCTGCGCCGTGCGCCTGGTTCCTGCGAGGGAGCCGGATCCGTCCCAGCGAGGCGGTGACCCGTGGGGGCTGCGGAAGGGGGAAGTCCTGCCTCCATCCGTGGGGAAGGGGCTCCCAGCCCCTGGGCAGGGGATGCCAGCACAGGGGGGTCTGACCCACTGGTGCGGGGAACGGGATGGGGGGGCTTGGGGCAGATGCTCAGTCACCCAGCTCAGCCCCATCCTTTTTGACAGGGTTCCCTACCGGCAGGCGTACAGGCGGCTGCCCCAGCCCTCGGCCTCGTGCTGTCCCGGCTGGAGCAGAGCCGGCAGCCACGCACTCGGCTGCAACAGAGGTAAGAGGCTGCTGTGCCATCCCCGTGCCAGCGCTCGCCCTTGCCCCGGACCCCGTGGGCCGGGTAGCTCAGGTCCTGGACTGGATGAGGCCCCAGCAGCCAGCACCCTCACTTATCGGCACTCTGCCTGTCAGACAGATTCTCCCTGTAGGAAAGCATTTAAATTTTCGGCGTCACAACCAAATGCAGTTCAATTTCTGATTAATTCCCAGCCTTTCTCTGCTGCCTCGCAGGCCTTTTTCCTTTGGGATCGCTTATTAACTTTATAGTTACCAGAGGATAAATAAAATGAGTAAGGCCTTTCCATATAAATCAGCAGTAATGGAAGAGGAATGCTTTCAGGAGGCAATCGTGATGTACAGCACAAAGCCAATGCAAAACACATCAGCAGCTAGGCTGTCCCCAGGTGAGCTCAGAGCGCCGCACCC